ACATTCCTGTTGTCTGTAATTGTATGTCACATACACAAACATATAGAATCACAGACATTTTTAAAATTAAATTTTATTTTTAAAAAATACTTTTTTAAATTGCTAAAGTTTTAAATTTTTTCTCCCTCACCTCCCACTGGAAAAAAAGAGAAAAGAAGAAAGAAAACATTTATAGAACATTAGCATAGTCAAGCAAAACAAATCCCCATATTGGCCACGTCCAAAAATATGTGTCTTAGCGCATTAGTCTCTGTCACGAGGTCAGTCACCTAGAATCATGAGAATGATAGATTTTTAAAGGGTTCCTGTATTCAGATCCTTGCACCCTCATAAGATGAAACCAAGATTGGCAGAGGTGAAAGGATTTGTCAAAGTGCCAGTGTGTGACAGATTTGAACTTGAATCCAGATGGTTTCCTGGTGACTAGCCCTTTCTACTTCAGCATGCTCCCTTTTCCTCTTTCTTCTGGGTAAGACCTAACTTGACCCTTCCTGTTTAGTCTAAGGAGCCTGAGAAGGCATAGAAGGCACTAAAGGACTAGCTCAGAAATCGTGCTAATCTCTTCTTGTTAACCAAGCTGGTGTTTTCCAAACAATCCATAAACCTGACAGGTGGTGGGAGAGCTGGTTCAGGCCCCCACTGCCTACCTAGGGCAGTAACAACTTCTGGAAGCTACTAGTAGCTTCCTCCTTCCCTTCCCAATCCCCTCAGGATTTGTTTTATGAGCAGGTGTTCCTGGTTAATTAGGTGATTAATACTCTTCACATTTGGGGAACTATTTCCCGGGTGATGACTCCTGCACAGCTAAAACATGAGAAAAGTCTGCAACTTGCAGCATTGAAAGGGCAGGCAAGGCATGAGAGTGATCACTCCCCTTCCCATTATGCCTTTCACTTTTGCTTCTCCTCAGATGGCAAGGAGTTTCATCAACTCTGCCCAAGAACTTTGTAGCTCCCTAAACTTCAAGGAAGAGGCTGAGTTTCTCCTATTGGGGTTAGTAGGCTCAATGCAATCGAGTTGTAAGACAGACTGGATCAACTTACAGATTTTGCCAGCTTCCCTCACTCATCATCTACTCCCAGGAAGAATCTGAGAGCTCACTAGTGTGATTTGACCTTTCCCAGAAATAAGAGCTGCACTGGCCTGAACCCCAGGATGAATTTCATTTAAGATACTTGTTATGTCCCAACCTCACTGCTATAATCCATGATTCCTTACCCTCCTTCTGTGAGCTCCCTTTCCCTAGATCAAAAACCTGCTCTCAGAATCTGGAATTCATTCCCATATACCAATTCATATGATTACCTCTCCCAAGGGATTTGCATCTTAATGGGGATCTACACTAGTAGGGAGGAGATTTGACTTTTGAACATGGGCAAATCAAGTGGTCTCTCTGGACCCCAGTTGCCTCATCTGTCCAAAGAGGTGGGGTACAATTGTAACTTAGCTGTTTTAAATCAAGGAGCTGGACCAGGTGATCTTTTGGGGAAAGATCTTTCTCCTGCACATATATCTATGAATTTCTAAGGACTAAAACTCCTCAAAGGGATTTCAATTATCAGACCGAATGGAGGACAAGAATGTTTTGAGGACAGGTGCATTTTCTTAACATCTGTGAAATAACACTGAGGATCTTAGTCATTGATGTTTAGACATTCTGCCCAGTGGCATGATCTCCTTGGGATATGCCTAGCCTAACTCTAGGTAGGGTCTGCCAAATTTGGTAGGCACATAGATACATATTAATATGTAGATACATATTAAGGGAAAGAGAAATGGTGCTTTTCTCAGTTCCTCATATATCTTCCACTTTCCTCTTCCTTGGCAATGAATTCTCTTACTTTTCCAGCTTCTTCCTGCAAAGGAAACCAAGTCCATGAAGAAAAAAAAAAGCTTGTAACTTTTACAAAATCATTTAAAGATTCTGTCCAACAAATGAAATATCCCCCAGAAGTCTTTGTGAAAAACACAGCCCCCCTGCTGTGGTATGAATGCAGCAGAGAGACAGTCTAAAACCCAGCCCAACTGGGACTGCAGAAGAAGGGGAGAAAGCTTTAGTATACATTTGGGAAAACAAAGAAAATCCTAATACTTTCTTCTCCAGACAGTCTCAGACTCTTTTGTGCCCTTGGGCCCTTGCCCAATTCTCTCATCTGCCTCAGTCTTCGTACTAAATTGGTTCAAGGTTTGGAGGAGAATTTTGGAGGGAGAGACGGAAGATGCTTGGAGTTCTTAAATGCTGAAGTCACCCCAAGGATGGAAACAGAGGATATCTCTGGCCACCAGAGGGCGATGCCACTGCGGAAAGAGCACCGAGTGATAAAGAAGCCAGAGCAAGAGTAGGTGGAAGTATAAGGCTTCTTGGAAAGCAAAAGCAGTCAATTGCATACATATGCAGGTGAGGAGGAGTGTGTGTGTGTGTGTGTGTGTGTGTGTGTGTGTGTGTGTGTGTGTGTGTGTGTGTGTGAGTGTGTGTGTGTGTGTGTCTTTATACAATAATTCATATGCCACTTCCACTACAAATTCACAGCTGTCCTCAGAAAAAGTCCTGGAAACTAAATGGGGTGGTATGCAGAAGCTTCCAGACGTTTTTTCTATTTGTGAAGGAAAAGGAATGTGTGGAGTAGAAAGTGAGAGTGAGACAGTCAGATAGACAGCTAGACACAGATAGAGTCCCTATGCAGAGCCTGTGTGTGAGCCCCCTGTCTGTGTGTGTGTGTGTACCAGGATCTCATCAGACCCATTAGACTAGGTCAAACACAAATAAGTCTAGATTTTCCTTCCTTTCTCTCCTCTATTCTTCCCCTCCCCCCCTAAAAAAAAGTTCAACTAATTTAAGTGAAGTATTTATTCATCTCTCTGCAATTCATATCCCCCTCTAATAAACTTCTTAAGGGCAAAAATAATGTCATATTCCCTCATTATATCCCTGTCACTTACCAAAATGTTCTGCTCATAGTGGGATCTTAATAGATGTTTGTTGAATTAAATGGAGTTGGTTAGATCCAGAAAATCTAAAACCCAGAGAGCATTTGGGAGTTAACCCTCTGAGCTTAGCAGAATTTCCCCTTCATTCCATTCCTGCTTCTTGTCCTGGTTCAGTGCTTTGGTGTATTGAAGGGTGAGGGTGGGAGGGACACCGTTGTGAAATGTGTCAAGAATTGACAATAGGGACAAAGGTAGAGTCCTAGGTATGATTGACTCTGAAGAGTGAAGGTCTCACTGGGTCATACAGTCCCAACTGTGAGAAGTAGAAAAGAACCTTAGGGATTTCTAGCCCAACCCATCTCATTTTCAGAGGAAGAAACTGAAGTCCAATAAGGTGTCTCTGATTTGTGAAGGATAGGAGTCTGACAGGTTTATATCAGTATGGAAAGTGTATCCATGGTGTGCAAGGTATGAAAGCATATGAAGGTGCATGAGTCTGGCCGGGTAAGTGCTCCCGTGTGTATATAACCCATATAATTCCCATGTGTAATAACCGTATGTCTGGAACACCTTTTGGAGTTAATGAAAGTGAGATTTCGGAGATGACTTTCCAGAAAGGGTTATTTCTTTGGCTGGCTTAAAAGTTTCATCCCCAGTTAAAATGCAAATGTTTATAAACAGTCTTTTTAAAAATGCAATTTAGCTGTACTGAAAGGAGCCTTTCAGAGAAGACACACCTAAAATCACACTATGTGGGTTTGTGTCTACTCTATCTACTCAAAAGCTTGCCCCTGACATCGTTTCACACGACAATAATTACAAAAGACCTCCAGCATTTTCTGTAGACAGCAGCTGGTGAATTTATTTGGAAAACAGGTAGTCTTTCACAGGATAGGCAGGTGTGAATTGTTGGTTGTGACTTGTGATCTGGATCTTTCCAGGGAATACTTACAAAGATGAGTTCACAGATCCATTGAAATGTAAAATGCAAATCTCCCAATGGGGTAACATATTAAACATTATCAATTATTTATATCTTACTGTGAATGAGTTTATCAGTCTTTCTCAACAGCAGGTTTTGATAGTGGTTAGAAGCACTATGACCAAAGCACTGAGCCAGGACAAGAATAAGGGAAAGGTAGCTCAGCTCCGTAGATTGAAGGTTCGGAAAACAAATGCCAACTTCACCGTTTCTCCTAGGGTGGGCCCTGATATGTGTACAGTAGTGCAGGCGGTGATTTGAGTGTGTTTCTGAGCAGTGCTCGGTGTTGCCTTCAGGGACAGTCCTGTACACCTGGACTCCCACCGGCCCAACTTCGATTCCCTCTCGCCCCTATCCACAGCTCCCTCCCTCCCGTCCTTACTCGCCCGTAGCTTCTGAAAGTTCCCAAGTTACTTGACATCACAAGTGGCGCAGCCAATAGGAGGCGGAGCTGGCGTTTTTGGGGGGGCGGGAGGGGTGGGCCCCACGTCTCCTGTGTCTGCCCTGCTCAGTGAATGGAGAGAAGGAGAACCGTCCAGCTCGCTCGCCCACCCCGTGCCCCCGCTGCTCCTGCCGCCACCACCACCCACCGCGCTCCGCAGAGCCTGCCGGAGCCAATCCCTCACCCCCCGCCCCAGCTCCAGCTCCAGGACCCCAGCTAGCTACCCGCCTTCCCACCTGGGCAGGTTGGGCGATGCGGAGCGGGGCAGCCCGAGCCCCGTGGATGGAGCCCCCGCCACCCCGTGCGCCCCTCTCCAGCGTCCCGTGCGCCTGAGCTCAGGACTGTCCCCGCTCCCCAGCACCCCCTCCTCCGAGCCGCCGAGGGCCCCCTGCCCCGCCCCCTCAGGCAGGAGCGCCGGTTCTCTAGCGCCTCGACTCCCTCCCTTTCCCCTTCCCCCGCCCGAGGCCGCCCCCGGCTGCGCTGCGCCCAGCTGCCGGCTCTCTGCTTCGCCGCAGCCTTCCCCGCTGCAGCCACCACTCCAGCGGCTGCTCTCGGCTGCATTCCGGCCGGCGGGACAGTCTCCGCCGGGCCCCGGGTGCTGCGCTGTGCTGCGGCCACGAGCGCGGCCAGCCTGGGCCCCCGGACAGCATGGCCCCGAGTCGGACAGAAGCCGGCTCCGCGCGCCTCTGGCGGGCGCTGGCGATGGTGCTCTCCCTGGTAAGCGCCCTGAGCTGGCCCCCAGCCTCAGCCTGCCCCACCAAGTGTACCTGTTCGGCCGCTAGCGTGGACTGCCACGGGCTGGGCCTCCGGGCGGTGCCCAGAGGGATCCCTCGCAACGCTGAACGCCTGTAAGTAGCCCCTCTCCGCTCCTCCCACCCCATCCCAGTCCTCTTCTTTTCCCTTACCAGACCCGGGCCACCCACCTGGGCTGTCCTGCAGCGACCAACCCCAGCGCACCCTCTGGAAAGAGGTCTGGACGGAGGACTCCTTTCTTTTTCCATGGGAGAGCTGAAGGCAACCTTCGCACCCAGTTTCCCTTTTCCAACGCCCCTCAGGCTGATTTTCAGGTCTACAGCCAGGTGGGCAGGAGTTCCCTCCCTGGTGGGGGGACGGCAGGCTATGCTCTGCCATTCTGAGTGTTGGTGGTAAGGATTCGAACCGGGAGGGGCTGCTCTAACAGGCTAAGAACGGAGCGCACCCCGAATAAAGCAGAGCTTGGGTGGGGGCAAGAGCTCTGTGCGACTTCGAGAGACTGGCACCCCGCTGGGTGGGTGTCAGTGTCAGGAGTCAGTACCAACGACATTGAGTTTATTTAGAGTCTAGAGGCTAGCCATCAGGAGGCTACCATGTCAAGTTAAGTTGAACGTGTGCGTATGTGAGAGAGCCGGCCCAACTTCAGAGGAACATAATGAATTTAGAAAGGATTCTTTAGAAACCTCCCTCCAGAGCTCAGACACTTTGAGATGCCAAATTGCAGTCCAGGTTCTTTTATTTTGTTTTTTAATGGCTCGGTTACAAATGCCTCAAAAAAAAAAAAAAAAAAGTGGGATCCAGAATGGAAATGCTGACGGGCCCCTTAAATGAGAAGGAGCGGTATAATCTTACAAACCGCACTCAGCTTCCTATCTTCTGTGTTTGGCAGTGGGGAGCCACTCTGAGTTTGATGGATTGACCCTCGTTTTAACCCCAATTGTGCAACCAAATATTTACTTTTCAGATGTCAACGTTTTGGAAAGGTTTATCATTTTTATACTCGAACAAAATTCAAAACTTGGACCTCTCTGGGACCTCTGAGACAGCGTTGCTGTGGTCCACAGTGATTGTGGAAGGAAGAGGGGAAGGACATGGTGGGAAGAAGGGGAAATGGACTAGGGAACCGAGCCCAGAAGTGGGTGAGGGCATTACTCATGAATGATAGGGGCTTCCTTGCTCTGTCTCTGCCACTCTGAGTCTTTCCCTAGTATATGAGGATGGTTTGTGTGGTTCCAAGTGGGTCTGAACTGTAAAGTGGAGTTAGGATGAGGATAAAATGATTATAATAATCTAACAGCTCCCTTTTAGGTTGGGTTTCAGAGCTTTACAATTTACAACGTGTTTTCCTCATGACCACACTGTGAGGTTGAACTGTGCAAAAATTATTACCACTTTGCAGGTAGGAAACTGATTCAGAGAAGTGACTTCTCTAACGACACATAGCTGGTACATGTCAAAGCTGGGAGTAGAGCAGTCTGGTGCCAATCACACCTTTTTTGGGTCTTCCTTGGTTCATATTAGTTCATCTTGGCTCAAGTCTCCCTGCCTTCAGCATTACTCAAAATGGCCCTCTGTCATGATTTACTCTAATTTTTGGAGCTTTTTTCCTAGGCCTCAACATTCTTGTTCAAGCACTAAGTCTGGCAGGAAGCATCATAGAATAATATTCAGTTCATTTCCAGAAACATGTATTAAGTGGCTACTGTATACAAAGCATTGTACTAAGTACTGGTATTAAAATGAAAAGGAGTCTTTTACAAATGAAGAGACTAGATCCAGGAGAAATAAATGTGACTTACCCAAGAGATTAAATGACTTGCTAAAGGTTGCATGGTTCACAAGTGCCTGGGTGAGAAATCACACCCAGGCCTTAGATCAACCTGCCTGCCTCATAGGGTTGTTAGGAGAATCAATCAGTCAGTCATTAAACATTTATTGAACACCTACTCAGTGCCAGGCACTATGCTAAGAGCTGGAATACAAAGAAAAGGCAAAAGACAGTCCCTGACTTCAAGGAGCTTACAATTTGATGGGGAAAATCATTCAAATGGTATCAATGGTATCAAAAGAAATAACTTAAAGTATAAATGTCAGTCTATGATAATAGCCAGTATTTACACAATAGTGCTTACTATTATCCCCATTAACAGTTGAGGAAACTGAGGCAATCAGAAGTTAAGTGACTTGCCCAGGATCACATAGCTGGTAAGTGTCTGAAGCTGGATTTGAACTGAGGTCTTCATGATTCCAGGCCTTAGTGCTCTATCCACTACACAGTCTAGCTGCTATTATTAATATTATTAATTATTATTATTATGTCTGATATTCTAATCTAATCCAAGTCACATGACTAATTTATGGTAGACCTTGGACTGGAACCCAGGCTTCTTGCCTCCCAGTCTATTCCTTTTTTCCACTAAACGGAAATGCCTCTATGATAAATATTTGTTTTATTGATATGGCTGGGTGGCTTATTTTATAAATCATGTTTCCTCTCCTCTTTTTTCCAGGCCACAATTATGATCTTATGTTAATGTAACAAATGTCAATGTAGGCCAACATCTGTAAACAGACTCTGGACAGAGTTCTAGATGAGGTGGAGATAGCTACTCTATGGTCACTGTACTGCCTCTAATTCTGTTTTTCTGTAAACAGAAACATCCACTTTGGACAAACTAAAAATTTGCACTTCTGAAGTGTCATCTCCCCACATCCATTGTGTTAGTGAGCTGAAAAATTGACTAGGGCCCATTTCCTGCTGCATTTGCAGACCAGTCCCAGGCTACAAGTACCATGTAGCAGCAAGGTTCCCTCCTCTCCCCAACTCGATGCCACATCTGCTTGGGGGTTTCTGGGTACCAGATAATTTCTGATTGGATTGACTAATGGTTCTTCAACCTACAGTGATGACTCCTAACTAGAGGTCAGGGGAGAATTAGAAGAAAAAGGAGAGAGTGATATAGTAAAAAGAACACTGAATTTGGAGTCCAAATAACTCACAGTTACAGCAACAGGAAAAGGCTAAATCTTTCCCACCTCCTTGTTGTGGCTTACAATCCTTTGCTAATCTTATAGCTCTGATACTTATGCTGAATTCTCCTCTTTCCAAAAGTCTGTCTCTGCCTAGGAAATTAAATCTGTCTTCTTGGATCTTGCTGCCCAAGAATCCTTATCTTCCCATTGCCCACACCCTTCACACACCCACATCCAGAAGGCTAAGGGTTAAGGAACTCTTGGAACTCCTCCAGAAGATGGGGTTCAGGAACTTCCAATAAGCATACCACATGGTTTCCCTCTTCATGGCTGCCTTCTCTTGGACTAAGATAGTCATGCCTCTGCCTCTCCAAGTTTGGGACCAAGAACTTGAATTTGGGATCCCCGCACTCCACTAGGACTCCACAGGTGAAAGCACACTCTGTTCCCATATATTCTTTCCCAAAGCAGTCTTTAGTGGCTCTTGGGTGAGGAGGATCCCTCCCCAACCCAAGCACACAGGTCCTATTTTAACTTTGCTCTAGTTTGTCTTCTGAAAAAGGGAGAGGGGAATCTTTGGTTGAAGACTTTCTGTTAGAGATGAGCACAAAGATATAGCTGCTCCTAAAACAGTCCAATCAATGAACAAATATTTGTCAAACACTATATACCAGCTACTGTACAAGGTGATGAGAGTACAAAGACAAAAAGGAAATAGTTCAGTCCCACAATAGTCTGAAGCAACTGGGTAGTGCAGTGGATAGGACATCAGACCCAGAGTTGGGAAGACTGGAGTTCAAATACAATCTCAGACATTTACTAGCTGTGTGACCCTAGGAAAGTCACTTAACCTCTGTTTCCCTCAGTTTCCTCAGCTGTGAAATGAGGACCTATCTCACAGGGTTGTTGCGAGGATCAAATGAGATAATATTTGTAAAGTGCTCAGCACAATACCTGGCACATAAGTGCTATATAACTACTTATGCCCTTTCCTTCCCAGCCCTCACCCCCCATCTGAGCCAATCCGTTCGTCCCCAGGTACCGAGAGGCATCCTACTCGTGACACTTAGGGGTATTTCCATGCCCTGTATAGAAAAATACAGACAAAAGTCCAGACAAAGACTGTACATGCCCTGTTAGCTTACTAGCTTGAGCAGGGGACTAGAAATCCTCTGGTTAACCTCCTATACTTACATGATGTTTGATCACCTCTCTGAGTCTATTTCTTCCTCAATAAAATGGGGGTGAAAAATACCTCAAAGACTTTGCTCCATAGAATTATTTTGTCTCCTAAAAGAGATGAGGGATGTTAGATGCTTAGAATATCTCAGAGTCTGTGAGCATTGTATGAGCTATCAGTAATGGTAGTTGGGCATCATACATGTTTCCCTTTGTTTTGAGGTGTTATTGCCTCCCTGACCAAGGTATAGAGGATAAACATCTGGTTTGTAACAGCTGGCTCAGGCAGGACCATAATAGAATGCAGAAGTAGCCAAACTATCACCATTTCCCCATGCCATTTCTTCCCCTTTTCCATCCTCTCAGTGCAATTCCACAAACATTTATTATGCACCTACTACATACAAAGCATTGTAGTAGATAAACATAGTGAATATACAAACTAAAGCGGGCTCTGCCCTGAAGAAACTTGGATTCTACAGGAGGATACAACTACATACACACACGCACACACACATATACATATTAAAAAGAATGACAACCACCCAACAATTCGTGGAAGGAGAGAATAGTGAAAACAGGCCTATTAGGACAGAAAGCTCCTTACCTGATCTGAGACTCAAAGAAAGCTCCGGCATGAAATTTCAGTTCCACAACCTCTCCCAGGATCTTGGGCATTTCCAGGTTATGCCTGGCCATAATAAAAATGTCTCTGAGGATGAATTTTTGTTTGTTTTCAATTGTATATAGCAAAGAAAGCTAACGACTTAACTTAAAGAATATTGTATTGGCATGAGAGTAGAAACTTTACATTTCTTTCTAAGAGGCTTTTAAACTTCCCATGGCTTTTCTTTTATGGGCAACAGCTATGTTAGCTTTGAAATCAGATGCCTTGCAACCATTTTTTTCTGAACTTGAAAGGATGAAAAATACCTTTTCATGA